TAAAATGGCACCCATGTGTTACATATCAAAATGTTCAGGACAATCTCTGGTATTGCTATATATGCAAATTACTCACCTTAGAGCACTGTTTGATGAGATAAGTAGCTCAAAAGCTTAACATTTGACATCCAATTTTCAGAAAATCTTCAAAACTCTTGTGAAAACACAAATTTACTCATGTGATCAAAGTGTTTTAGATTTGGTTACCAAAGTTTTAGGATTACAGAAGTAGTGAAATATTTGAATTACACTGTATATAAATGTGTTATTCATGTCTAAATTGACATTTTATAAATTCGCATTCTGAGTAAAACAGCTGTCAATCACTCTACTTTCACCACAGCAGGGACTGAGATATATCAGGACTGAATAATGACTTCATATTACATACCAAGGTTCATGTGATGTGTACAAAAAAAAGAATTGAGCATTAGAACTTTTTTTTCAACCAACAATTTATTATAATACCAACAATGTATATAAATATAACTGCAAAATCTCACTTTTTACAATATTGAACATCAGAACTTGTTTTCCTTCAACCAACTATTCATTATACACTGACAAAATGATCCTTCCTCCAGTAGTCCAATACATTGTCCAGTTTCAGCAGCCCCATGTATTTATAGAAATCCTCTACAGTCAAGTCAGTCCATTTGTAGGTTTTACCCTTTCCCATCTCCTGTGCAGCCCGCTTGTTTGTGTTGGTACAGAGTGTCTGTACTGTTAGTGCACTGAAGAACAGCTTGAACAGGTCAAGGGGTTTGTTTGATACTGTTGAGCTGAGCTGTGGCCCGGGTGTGCGAGCAGGTTGAAACCTGGAGACAGGGGGAGCAGTGTCAGGGTCTTCGCCTGTCTTCCAAGACAGTGGAGCTGGCTGCTGTGCAGGTGGGGGTGATGGTGCATGGGCAGCTGGTGGCTGTGTGGGAGGTACGTGTGCTCTACGAGACCTCTTTGCTGTCCGGGTTGATGGTGATGGCTGTGGCTGTGGTGGAGCTGAGGTGTATCTTGACCTCGTCGGAGGCAGCTGTCGTGATGCTGGTCCGCTAGTGCTTGGTGGGGATGGCAGTGGTGAAGGCCCTTGATCCATGGTAGATCTCAACATGGTGGCAGGCACAGCTGGAGGCTCCTGGATAAATGTCATCTGTGGGCAGCTAGGCCCAGGCAGCTGTGAAACCTCTCTGTAAAAACAAATAAAAATTGTGGGACAATAATTATTACGAAGACACACACACACACACACACACACACACACACACACACACACACACACACACACACACACACACACACACACACACACACACACACACACACACACACACACACACACACACACACACACACACACACACACACACACACACACACACACACACACACACACACACACACACACACACACACACACACACACACCTCCCCATTACTACATAGCACTCCCCACAAATGGCAGGCACACATATAAATAAATTAAATATCTCCGTTGTGGGACAAATAAAGGATTATCTCATGCATCTACACATGTAACCTTACTTTATACACACCAAAATAACGTTTACACATAAAGTTTATCACAGACACACATGTAAATAAGTCTATGACAAAGTCTCATCTGTACAGAACAGTATGATCAAATAAAATACATGTCTATAAATTAGGGGTGCACCGAATGGGAAATTCTTGGCCGAAACCGATACCGAAAATAGGAAACAGTTGGCCGAAAACCGAATGCCGAAAGGCCGAAAATGATTAATAGAAATATATATATATATAACAGGGTTTCCCACACATAGACTATACTTGGGCGGGCCGCCCAGGTATATTAACGGCCGCCCAAGTATATTTCGCGACCCATTTAGTTTTTTTTTTTTTTTTTTTTATACATTTTTTTTTTTATATATATTTTTTTTATTCGTCCGTGACCACGACGCCATCTGCGATTGATTAACTTGTAGACAATGATCCCTCGCTCCCTTGCTCTGATCTCGCCTCCTTCTGGCCTGTTAAGTGGCCTGCCTCACACAGGGTGACTGGCTGTCCACATGATGTGGCCTGCCGACATGGCCACTGTCATACAGATCATAAATCAAAGCCCTTGATTGGTCTCTGTGTGTCATTCAAGCTCGGGATAACCTCAGGTGAGGTAAAGGACTCTCTGAGTGTTTAGATAGTTAACTTAGTCTAAGTTCTCAGTGGGTCTCAAACGGTGTGGTCACCATTTATGTAAACACATATTTCCATTTGAGAGGGTAGTGATTGGTCTAATGGATAGTGAGGTGGGCTGAAGATCGGAAGGCTGTGAGTTCAAATCCCGCCAGGAACACCACCACTAGTGTGCCCTAGCGTCCTAGATTTCTAGTGTGTCCATTGGTCATTTCAGACCGACATGGCTGCCGGCCGGCCGAGATGTCCTTGACTGACACACAAATCCACCAATCACACACAGTGTAACGCCGAATCAAGCTGCTTTGAGCGGCAATATTGGCTGCTGTGCCCTGGGTACAGTCTCACAGGAGATACTCTTGAAAAGCTACGATTCTAGCGATTCCACAGATATCTGAATCATATTTCTACTCCTTACAAGCAAAAATCTATGATTAAATACGTAAATAAATGTGCACCGACTCCAGAGGGTTAAAGCGAGAGGGCAGAACAATTGCTTATTTAGAAAATAGTCCCCCTGTGAAGAGGTATTTCAATAAATAACTCTTCTTTAAAAGAGTAGTATTTAAACAACTTAAAATAGGCTTTATATTCACCTTCCTCAATATTAAATACATATTTCAGATCCAATAATACCACTCCACATTTATTTTAATTGCTCCTTACATTTGTTGGGCTCTTTCAATGACACATGAGAGAATCAATAAAGTGGTTTTGCCCAAACCAAAAAACACATGGGATACCACAAAATACAAAGCAACTGACCAAAGCCAAAACTCCCCTCTTGCGATTACAGCAAATGTTTTGGCCCGATTGGCTGCTTCCATGATTTAGGCCCAATCCCAAACCACGCCCTACACCCTACCCCTACGCACTACCCCTCCGTGACGGAGTGAACTCCGTGGATTGACACTCGCAGCTCAATGAGGCTCCCTCCTGTCAGATGGAGGGAGTAAGTACAGCAGCAAGCTTTGGGACGGCCTCCCCTCTCTCCGGCAGAAACAGGAAATGCCGTAACTGTATGTAACGGTTTCAATAAAACTCCAAACATCTTTAATTGTGTTACTTGTTTGTAAAGCTCTTTTAGTTTTAAACCTGATGTTTATAAGCCTCTTAGTTTTTGCAACGGTCTGTAAATATACACAACTTTATAATAAAATGCACACATTTACCTTTTTCTAGACTAAACACAGGTACGATCCTAAGTTAAAAACATATGAGGTTATCATGAGGTTGTTAACATCGCAGTTTATCAGTGGATGTTTGCTGGAACTACTTGTCAACAGCTTGTTTCCTGACGGACACACACAGCGTGACTCCGGTCAGGTAGAGACCGGTCTCAAGTCAGCACCGCTGCAGACTCGCTGTTTGAGGGCTTGATAGCCCACTCCCCCTCCACACCGCTCCACACTCGTTGGTTTGGAACAGCACTTAATATGGCGGACCCTCCGCGCAAACGGAGGGGTAGGGTGTAGGGGGTGGTTTGGGATTGGGCCTTAATGGTCCTCAGCCACAGCTTTTGCTAAACCAGGAAGTAACCTCCCCAACAACCAGGTAACTTTTGACAAGGAACTAATTATTTGTATAACAAACAAATACATGTTTAACCTTACAGTGCTAAAATGTGTGCACTTGATCTAAATATTTTAAGGTTAAAAGCAAATGAACAGTTGAAATCCTCTGTGTGGTGGTAATCATGGTGTGGTTGACTTCAACTGAAATGAACATGCTCAGAAACTAATGGAAGTGAGAGTGTGCATTTGGATTAGATAACCATGTATGGTCATTACACGAGCAATTTAAACATCCTCATCCCCATCTGAAATAACCATGTCTTCTTGGAAGGCGCCGGTTTACACAGTTAGCAAGCATGTGCTGTTAATGTGCTCTAACTGTGCTAATGTGTTTTAATTGTGCTCTTGCATTTTGGCCTGTGCTTGTGCTCATGTGTGCTCTATGCTTTTATAATCTTGATGGCTTCTTTTATGAGCACTTAAACCAGGAAAATGACTTAGCGTTTTACTGCTTCTGGTTCCCTTGTCTTGAAGTCAACAGTTGTTTGAATCTGTTTGTGTTTAGACTCCTGAAATAAGGTCTGTGGATAACACAAGTTTACGAGATTTTTTTCTACGACATAAAATACGTCGGCATATACAGTAAAATGTCTGTGTGTAATAAAAACGCGTTTTTTCACAAATAACAACACAAACTACTGGACATCAACATACCAACCTCAGCCTATAGTGATGTGGCATTACTTTAGCTTTTTAATTCTGCCAATATTATTTTTGCTTCAAATATCATAAAGTGTTTTAAGAGGTAATGAGATTTTCCTGCTGAACAAACATGTTAAGTATAAATACTTAACCACAATGCTTTTTTCTGCAATATCCCAAATCCTCTTTGTCGAGGGGGCCCTCGCGATGGTAACTTCCGGGTTGGTCTACAAAAATATGTCATCAATGCACCAACTTATTGCCATCAACCTGCCAGGGACTGCAGATACAACAAATAAGTTCCATGGCTAAATGTGGTGCGTTTGCATGATGGAACAAAGTGCTCGTGTTAATTGATGTTCTTTGTCCCTTCTCATATAAATACAAAATGAGCTCAAGTACATTTTTATGGCCATTTTTTAAGGCCAAAATAAAAATGAAAAGTGCTTTGTTTTTTTCATTTTTTTTTTCAGCAACAATTGTATTGCCAAATTTCCTCTCAAAACTATCGCCTTCCTCAATTTAATTTGTCAGATATTTGGACAGACGGATGGATATGCACATATGGTTATCACTGACTGTTATTGTTGATGCCTACACTCTGTCTCTCTCTTACAGGGACCTGAAAAATAATTTGATCAGTACGGTGGAGCCCGGGGCCTTCAGAGGTCTGCATGCTCTGAGGAGACTGTGAGTATGATGAAGGATTATCCAGGGGACAAGGGGAAAAGCAGTGTCTGAAGTATCCTACTGTACATGGCTAAGAGAGGAATGAAACTGAGGCAAAGTGTTGATAAGATCATTTCAGCCTTAGCTGAGCTTCCTCTTTCCAGTTGAGGCTAAATAAAGGCACATTACTCCTTCTTAATCAAATTCTATGTAATTGTTAGTGTGGACGCATTCAAAAGTGGGGCACTGGTCTGCAGGATTGTGTTCTCGTGTTGTGCTAGAGGGCACATCAGCAGGAGGTGTTAAGGACAGGGAAAGCATTGTAGTTGCTGTATCCCTGCGCTGCTAGGGTACTCACACATACAAAGCCGTGGCAGCACATCACTCCCACCCTCATCCACCTCCACTGGTTTCCGGTCAAGTCTTGCATAACATACAAAATCCTCCTCCTTACCTACAAGTCCCTCCATGCCCTTGCCCCCTAGTACCTATCAGACATCCTTTACCCACATGCCCCACCCCGGAACCTGCGGTCTTCAGACTCTGGCCTGCTTACCACCCCCCGCACCAAACTACGAACCTTCGGGGACAGAGCCTTCAGTGTGGCAGCCCCCACCCTCTGGAACGCTCTCCCTGCGGAGATCCGCAACATCCCCATGCTTGACGCCTTCAAGAGGGCCCTCAAGTCCCATCTGTTCACCAAGGCCTTTGGCCCCTAATCTATTTGTTGTTTTGTCTGTCTGACTGTTCATCTGACTGCCTTTTGTTATGTTTGTTTCTACTCCTGTTCTTCTTTGTAAAGCGACCTTGGGTCGGTCTCATGAAAGGCACTATATAAATCCAAACTATTATTATTATTATTATTATTAGTTCACTTCTTCACTGAGATTTCCAGAATGAGAACCACTGATCTTCTGCCAGTTGAGGTGTTAGAGTGAGACTTGGTAGCCTTTGCTGAAGGCACATTGGATTTCTTTCTGTTTGCCTTAATCCTTGAACTAGTTGCATTAAAGGCGCAATAGGAAGTGGATTTTGGATCTGATGTTAAACAACATTTGAACTCCATTAGGCAAACTGACGCAGAAATCATTCACACACATTGGATGTAGGATTTTTCAAAACGGAATGTAAATTAAATACACTTTGAGTAAGCCAGCAACGCTGAAGGTTCACAACATGAACAATGTCTTTTTATAATAGCAGTCCATTAAGAGTCTCCCTTCTGTTGTTAATACCAAAATCATGTGAGGCAGTACAAAAGAGAAAAGTGTGTATTGAAATGAGCAAGTGTGTTTTTTTCTTATGAATTAAATGTAATGAATAACATTTAAACTAAAGTTAATTTTGAACTATCTCTTTTAAAAACACTTTTTTTTTTTCATTCATATAAAAAAACAGATTAAATGCTCACGATTAAGGCATGTCTTTTTTTAATATTTGTTGTACTTATTCTGCCTGTAAGAAAAAGTGTATGTATGGAGCAACTAATTCAATCATATAGGTAAATAAAAAAGGAAGAGTAAATATCTCCAGATAAACAAAATCAAAACCAAATATTTGTAATTACTTGATTTGGATGATTACTTATATATTTACTTAGACTTTCAAACTCACAACTGCAAAAAAGTATTTGTTGCCATGTAAACAAACACACACACAAAAAAAGATTTGCCTGTACAAAACAAGGACAAGGGTTTTTCTCTTTGTTTTGGTTTATCCTACTCAAGTCATTTCCCCGGCCATTACCCTCCTGGCTTTCTACATTTAGGCTCCAGAGTGAGTGACATGATTGCAGGCTGATGGTTAGTGGGGTCTTGGTTGGCAGGGATGCAGCACTGAGCTATCCGTGCTGATTCGGGGCGCGTGCTCGCCAAGCTCGGGGAGCAGCAGAGTGCTAATTTAAGTCCTCCCAACTGGTGATTACTCGAGTGCTCTGCTTATTTTCCCACAGCTGCTCCAGCAAAGCAGCTCTTTAATTACAGAGTGCAAGGGCACGGAGCCATGGACGCGGCAGCGCTTAGAAACTCGCATACTGCGCCTGCACGTGTTAGTGTGTGTACGTGGGTGGATGTGTGTGTGCCAACAATGGGTATAAGGCATAAAAGGTTACGGAAGGTCAGGACAGGAAGCTGAGTAAATGAATGAACGTGGTTTACTAACAGTTTTCCCAGATGTTCTTTGTTTTTTACAAATGGCCAATGCATACAGACACATGTTCTAAGTTGGGCCATGGGAACTACATTATCAGAAATATTCTCTATAAAGTTGATATTTTTCTTCTCTCTTTATCTATTCTGTCCAACACAAAAGGGATCTGTCCAACAACAGGATCGGCTGTGTCTCGCCTGAAATGTTTCTCGATTTGGGCAGCGTTTCAAAATTGTGAGTAATCCGGAAATTAAAATCATACATTGCACAGCTTTATGCTTAATTTTCTGTATTTACCGTATGTGGTGTTTGATATGGATTTAGTAGGATTTAAATGTATAACAAAATACTGTTGGGTGTATTTAGAGCGTGTGAAGAGTGACTGAATGAATGTCTTTGTGTTTCCCACCAACAGGAATCTATCTGGGAACATCTTCTCCACACTGACTGTGGGAATCTTCACGCACCTTGTGGCTCTCAAAGTGCTGTAAGGACACCACATATACTTATCATGAGCATGACACTTTGAGTCCTCTAAGTTGTGGCTTAAAAATATATTAAGACCTCATTATTTACTGAGTCTAGGAGATATTAGCTTTTGGCATTGCAGATATGTTGACTATAGCAGGGAAGGCAGAGGTGTGACTGATGATATCTAAACTGTTAAACATCATAACTAGATGTTAATTGTTAAACTATTGTAGCATAGTTTTAAAGGTCTTTCAGTAAAACTATCGTATGCAAGACATAACCACAAGAACGCAGGCGTACAGATTTAATTTTAGACTAAATATGTTGTGAACAACTACAAATCTAGCCACCCAAAGCAAGCTAATTCAGGTGAGAAGAGATGTTCAAACACAGAGGTAGCATCCATGTTTTCCTATTTGGAAATGAAAACACATTGGACATTCAAAAAAGGCTTTTCATAAGAGTACAACAATTGATTATTTATGGTACACTAAGGCAATTTTGGTAGAATTGATAGGACATTGTACGAATACGGCAAATGTATCGTACAAATACGATTATTATTGTATAAATACGATAATTATCGTACGAATACAATTATTACCGTAACGCTGCTGTCAAATGTAGGTGAATCAGTGAAATAATCACACTTATGCCCTGGAGCTGCTATTGAATGAAACCGTTATTACTTTGAGGAATTGCACCCTGCTTCTCCCTGTGAAATCAAACTGTCTGCATTATTGAATACAGTCACTCAAATTAAGCAACAACACAGATGGCAACTGTCTCTGGTTTTCCCATCAGGCACTTCAGCACAGAGACTTTGTTCTGTGACTGTCAGCTGAAGTGGCTGCTTCTCTGGGCTCGAAGCAACTCGCTGAAGATCGGCAACGACACGGTGTGTGTGTTCCCCACACAGCTCCACGGACTGGAGTTTCGCAACCTTCGTGAGCAGCAGCTCAGATGTGGTGAGGACATACAACAACTTTTTGTCCGTTATAAATACAACATCTGGGTAATCGCTGCCTTTTGCTGTTCAATGTGAATGCCCTTTAATGGAAGTAAGTACTTATGGGATTTGAGACACGGCACAGCTGTAGGGTTAGCCTTGTGGCTAATACTAATGTCACAAATCTAAAATCATTGGCAAATATGTATTTCCCTGGGCAGCTTGTCCAAAGCAGAAGCATCTTACCAAAACTCAAGTTTGACCCAAAAGAATGAGATAGGACTTTAATCTAGGCAAGAGAAAAAAAACGGAACTATTGTACACATTGCACGACATACAAGAATCAGACCGAGATTAACAGTAAACCAGGATTTACAGATATAAATAGAATCTTAACTAATGAGGGGATAAAATGCTGGTGTACAGGAGGTCAAGTGGTTACATGGCTGATCCAAAAGGCGGTTAAACCATGGATGTATAATAAGAACTGGATACAGCGTGGGAGGCGGGGCCTCATTCATGGGTTACAGACATTCATGGTCAATGTAATGACGTAACCAGATGAGTGATTACACACATTTGTATCATACATGTCATTCACAAACTAAATCAGGAGATCTTTAAAGTTTTACGTCCGATTCACTCCTTTTTTCCTCTCTGTACTTATGGAGCTATTTCAGGGTTATAAGTTTTGATCATTCAAAAAAATACAATTTATTTGAAAGTTTAAGTTTTTTTTATCCTGAACTTTGAAAAATACAATGATGTATTCAAACCAAAAATAAGTATTTGAAATCATTTTTCAGGTTGAATATTATTTTGATTCAGTTCAGCAATTTTTTTAAATAAAATATTTATTTTCAGATTTCACTTTTATACATATTTTGATATTTGAATCCTTATTTTTTTCAGTTGCAGATTTTACGTTTTCAGATTCAAAACAATTATTTTTTCAGTTTCAAACCTTGTTTTTTCAGGTTTCACATTGCTTTTCATCTTTCAGATCTATTTTTTTCGCTTTCAAACTTTTGGCCCTGATGTTGCTTGGTGGGCGGGGCTTACAAAAGAGTAGTTTGGCCTCCTGAGTGGCAGGCCTCCCTCTGTCATGTTGCCTTCATGGATGTTAGGTAGCGTGAGAAATATAACTCAACACTTTCTATACACAATACTCCCGTGATTGGTGGTAAACAAAACTGATACCAGCGTCAAAGTTCCGTTAAGCGAGCTGTTGAGCATCGTAGTTGGCAACAATCAAGGTTATAAGAGCAATAAACTGTGCTAGAATGTGAAATTAGTATCCGCAATCAGGCGTTGTCCTTCCCCACTCCACGTAGCTCCATGAACGCAGCATAGTATTGGCTTGGTTTTTGCGATTAGAATCAGAATACCTTATTAGTCCCACAGGGGATACATTGTTACAGCAGAAAAATAGCCAAAGACAGTTTATTGTTACCTAAAGCATGCATAAAAAAGTATTAAAGATTACAAAAATAAATTATATATGTTTTTAAAGTTACACATTTTACATAATACACACCCTGTAACAGTTCTGCGGATTTAGCAGCCAGGCATATATTGCACAGTATTTAACGGCATATTACACATATTACAGGTATTTATCAACAAGAGGTGTTATAGTCTGTGTTGTTTTGTGTGTGGTCTACTAGTATGGAATGCCATTTAAGCCAAAATGAAATAAATAAATAAATACATAAATAATTAAATATATATATATATATATATATATATATATATATATATAAATATGCCTATGAAATAAATTCTGAAATAAATAAATGAGGCAATAAATATGTATACACATTTATTTATTTCATAATGACACGTTTATTTATTTCAGGTGACTTGTATTTCATAATGACACATTTATTTAATTCAGGGGACTTGTATTTCATAATGACACATTTCCATTTATTATAATATAATAAATGGACATGTGGTTGATTTCCCTCAGGCACTTCAGCACAGAGACTTGTGCGGATTTGGTAAGACCACGCCCCTCCATTTGCATATTATACAAATGAACGGGGCGTGGTTAGCTCACAGATCCAGACCAAAGCAACAGCACCACAACACTGACTCATGCGACTTTAACACCAGCGCTTTTCCCATTCTAGCTTCGTGCTAGAGCTTTTTCTGGTTCAGCTCCAGTTTCCCCTTTTCTGCTCCCGCTTTGTTCACACCGCCCAGATCCCGACTGGTGCTGCCGCTTGCATATATTTATATATATATGTATTTATTAGGGCGGGACTCGATTTAAAAAAATTAATCTAATTCATTAGAGGCTTTGTAATTAATCGCATTTTTAATCACATATAAATATTTGACCTAAGAACAGTGAGAAGCAATTTTTTTCACATGGATTTTAGTATACCATTAGGCGCATTCACACCGCAGTACTTTTCCCACAAAGGTTCATGAGAATTTAGTTAATGAGAACTCTTTGAACTTGGGGGTGGATTAGGCAAATGAAGCCGCCGACGTCACTTCTTCTTCTTCTGCTTTGGGTTTACTGGCAGGCCGCAAACCACTTCACGGCGTATACTGCCCAAAGTCCCCGGCCGGAAGTCCCCGGAGTTGGGGACTGGCTTCAGTAGAAGCTGCTGGGAGTCCCAGCAGCTTCTACTGAAGCCTTCCGAGTAAATCGCCAGAACGCCGACACCTCCCTCATCTCCACCGCTCCCATGTTTTATTTTGTGTTGCCATAAATTAGTCTCTATGCGTTTCTGCGCTGGGCTAATGCTAATAATGCTAATGCGTGGATAATAAAATGGCGGCTTCACAAAACTTTTTGGGAGTTTTACGGGGCGTGGTTTGCAATCCGCCCAGCCAATCAGACATATAGCTCTTTTCTCACAAGAGAGCCGTACGAAAGTCCCTGCCTCTCTAGCAGCTCTCTGCTCTCTAGCAGGGACTTTCGTGGGGGTACAAAGGTTTCTCATGAACTAATTTTAGTACCGGCTCTTTTTGGTGTGAACGCGATAAAAGAGGCTAACGTCCACGCTAGCTGCTATATGTTTTTGCATTGAGGTGATACTTGAGGCTTGATGTGCTGCGGTGATATGCGAATTCCTTTTTGCATTAATTGCACACAACCGTGTGCTCTTATCGACGCTTCCATCCGGTCCGTTTTTTTAAAACAACATTTCCCACTGTTGTTCACTGTGGTTTGTTGTTGTCTGAAGTCATGAACGTTAGTTGGTGCTCCAGTATAATCGGTACGCCTGAAACTCATCCAGTGAGAAACGTTCGCGTTGCAAAAATAAGTGCGATTAAAATGCGTTTAATTTTTTTAACGCGTTAATTTTTGTGTAATTAATTAATCTTAATTAACGCGTTAAAGTCCCGGCCCTAGTATTTATTTAATTATTTATTTATTTAATTTGGCTGAATGGCATTCCATATACTAGGGGCTTGTGCCTGGTTGTATAGTATGACCGCTGCAGGAAGGAAGGACCTGCGGTATCTCTCCGTGAGGACAGCGGGGGATGTGTGTCAGGTCCACCAGAACAACCTGCTGGCTCGTTCGCGGATAGGCTACGTAATTTCACATTCTAGCCACAGTTTATTGCTCTTATACCTTGATATTTGCCAACTACGATGCTCAACAGCTCGCTTACGGAACTTTGACGCTGGTATCAGTTTGTTTACCACCAATCACGGAAGTATTGTGTATAGAAAGTATTGAGTTATATTTCTCGTGCTTCCTAACATCCATGAAGGAAACATGACAGAGGGAGGCCTGTCACTCAGGATGCCAAAACTACTCTTTGGTAAGGCCCCGCCCCCAAGCAACCTCAGGGCCAAAGTTTGAAAGTGAAAAACGATCTGAAGGTTGAAAAGCAATGTGAAACCTGAAGAAAAAACAAGATTGAAACTGAACAAATAATTGTTTTGAATCTGAAACGAATATCTGCAACTGAAAATAATAAGGATTCAAATATGAAAATATGAAAATATAAAGTGAAATCTGAAAATAAATATTTTATTCAAAGAAATTGCTGAACTGAATCAAAATAATATTCACCTGAAAAATGATTTCAAATACTTGAAATCATTTTTGAATACATCATTGTCTTTTTTCAAAGTTCAGGATAAAACTTTCAAATCAATTGTATTTTTTGAATGATCAAAACGTATGACCCTGAATTGCTCCATATACACAGCTCCAGTTTGGGCATTGGCCTGTCATCAGATTGAATTTGTAGTTGCTGCTATAGCGGAAGTTTAGTAAAATTATTATTTTTGATTAAATACTTCAAATCTCCACCCTCCATAATTGCACTTGCTTCAGTTGCTTGCTACTTTCTAACGGCGGTGATGACAGTTACAGTACGAACTGAAGTTGATGCGATTTGATTGGATTGTGAGGCAAGGGATTGTTTAGCACTTCAGGATTTGAAGTCAAATATGAAGTGCTTTATAAATGAAACCCATTTATTATTATTATTATTATTATAATAAGGAAGCCAGCCGCTCTGCTTCTCATCTGATTGGTCAATCCCTAAAAAAAATTTCACCAAGGTGAGCCAATTTCAGCTGGCCTCCTCTCGCAACAGTGAGTGCAATCTACTGTTTTCACCATAACATCTATAGGGGTGCTGTTTCACTCTTTGTAAAATACTCAATGAGAATGGGGGAGAGAAGAACAGCAACACACAGCAAAGAAGAATTACCGAAACTAAACAAAGTGTTTTTATTTATTTATTAAAATGATAACTACAATCCGAAAAAACAGGGGAAGCCTGGCTTCCCTTGGCCTCCGGGAGAAAACGCCACTGCTAAATGCATAACAAATGGGAGACAACAAACTGAAGTTGTGTGTGTTTATAAAGAAAGAATAGCTATAATCTTATTTGTTGGAGTAATTGATCCTGACTTAATTTAAGAAATATCATCATCTTCAGTTTGAGAGTCCATTTTTGCAGAGCCAATTATTTCATTCACGTTGAATTGTTTCTCAAATGGTAATTTGCTGAGCTCTGACAGAAAGTAATCTTT